TACTAACAACGCCATGGTCCTTGGCTTTGGGCTGCACACCCTGTATCCCCTACCCACCTCCCAGAATTATCCCAGCTGGCTGCTCATTCTCAGCCCCTTCCACTCCTCTTCTCAAAGAGCCTTGGGAACTTTTATGGATCTCGGCCATGCCCTGTGCAGCTGAGGAGGACCTGGAATGCAGAGGAGGGGATACTTCCTGAAGCCCTCCCAGCCTGTACATGCCACACTACCAGTTCCACTGCACTGATGCCAGGCTACTGTACTGGCACAGAGCACAATGGTCTCCTACAAGTCCAAGTGGGAAGCAAAATGCCCATCTGCTTGCTTTGCAGTTTCCAAAACTAACTAGGCTTCTTAACTATGCCCTCCCCCACCCAACACACAGAAGGCTTTATCTCTGAAGGTAAGGGGGTGCAGGGAGCTGGCCTCGATTTTGGTCTAAACTCTTGGTCACCACAAACCTTTCCTACCAGGTTCTTCCCTATGCCTGAGGCTCAATCTGCCACCCACCCCACTCCACCCTCAGCCCAGAGGGGGCTTTTCCTTTCCATTTTCATATTCTCTTCTTACCACTCCACGGATTTTAGTAAAGCTGTGTGCTCTGACTCCCTGGACTCTGATTATTTTTTTTTTTAGGGTAACTTTTAAAACTTAGATAAATCTTTCTCAACAAAGCCTGATTCTTACAAATGAAAGCTTTAACCTTCACAAGTGTTCCTCCAAAATGAGTTTTAGGAACCTGTTCTGGAAGTCAAAAGATGACCATCCTCTCCTTAAACTCTTAAACTAGGAATAGCTTGAATGTCTCTTAAAGTGACATATACATATTTGTCAGGATAGGCCAGGATCATTTCAAGAGCTTGCCACATTAAATAACATTCCTCTCCCATCAGATAAACCCCATGTCGACCCTGAAGAGCTCCAGAGTGGTTCCCTGCTCAGCCGTGTCTCAGGGGGCCCAGCAGTTCCCACCCATGTCTTTACCTCCTTCCTTATGGCTTTCAGATTCACTGTGAGAGAACTGGAGAGTCTACAGGAGTTTTTATGGCCAAGTCTAGATGGGGCGTACATCACTTCCACCCACATCCCATTGACTATAACTCAGTGAGATCACATAAACCCAGCCTAATTTTAAGAAGAACATATATATTACCTTCCTATGTGCTCAGAAAGAAGGGGGAGGTGGGAAAGAGTTTTAATGAACACATGGCATTGTCTCTGCCCCAACTGAAAAAGGAAATCTATGGAAAACTTGCAGCAGACATCAGATATAATACCAGAAGTCAAAAGTTTGCCTCTGATATTGGCAAAAAGGCAAGGAGGCCCGGTAACGCCACCTCTATTTGGCATCCATCATGCTAGTGGTCTTCAATGGCACAACCAGAAAAATACATCAAAGGTGGAGGGATTGGAAGTGCAGCAAATTCGTCCATATTTTTCAGATGGTATATTTTGGACATGGAAGATTCAAAAGACTATACAGATAAATGATTAGAATTAATAAGAAAGCTTAGAAAGGTTACTGGATATGCATTCAAGATGCCTAAATCAATTATATTTCTATAGATTGGCAACAAATGGAATAAAAAGTATTTTGTAAATGCCATTGACAGTGGCATCCAACAAATCAAGGGTCTAGGAATAAACTTTACAAAAGATGTTTGAGTGCTCTACAAGAAAAACTGTAAAACTTTTTTTTACAAATAGTTTATTATCAAATTTGTTTCCACCTAACACCCAGTGCTCATCCCCACTAGTGCCCTCCTCCATGCCCATCCTCCCTCCCCCCAAAATCCATCAGTCCTCAGTTCGTGTCAGCATTCAAGAGTCTCTCATGGTTTGCCTCTCTCCCTTTCCCCCACCATTTCCGCCCTTCTTCTCCCCCATGGTCCTCAGTTAAGTTCCTCCTAATCCTCCTATACGTGCAAACATATGATATTTGTCCTTTTCTGCCTGACTTATTTCGCTCAGCGTAACACCTTCAAGTTCCATCCATGTTGCTACACATGGCCAGATTTCGTTGTTTCTCATTGCCATGTAGTATTCCATGGTATAGATAAACCACATCTTCTTGATCCATTTGTCCGTTGATGGACACTTAGGCTCTTTCCATGTTTTAGCTATTGTGGAGAGTGCTGCTATGAACTTTGGGGTACATGTGCTCCTATGCCTCAGCATTTCTGTATCCCTTGGGTAAATTCCTAGCAGTGCTATTGCGGGATCATAGAGGAGTTCTACTGTTAGTTTCCTGAGGAACCTCCACACTGTTTTCCAGAGGGGCTGTACCAGTTTACATTCCCACTAACAGTGTAGGAGGGTGCCCGTTTCTCCACATCCTCGCCAGCATCTAGAGTTCTCTGATTTGCTCACTTTAGCCACTCTGACTGGCGTGAGGTGGTATCTCAGTGTGGTTTTGATTTGTATTTCCCTGATGAGGAGAAAAGCTGAGCATTGTTTCATGTGTCTGTTGGCCATCTGGATGTCCTCTTTGGAGAAGTGTCTGTTCATATCTTCTGCCCATTTCTTCACTGGGTTGTTTAAGAAAAACTGTAAAACTTTATTTAGGGATATTTAAGGAGATCCAAATGAATGGAAAGATATACCATGCTTATGGATTGGAAGGCTAAAAACTTGTAAAGACATGAATTCTCCCAAAATTGAATATAAATTCAGTTCAATTCCTATCAAATTTTCAGCAGGGTTTTTTCGGGGTGGGTCAGGGGCAAGAAGAGGTGTTTCATTTTTGTAACTTGCCAAGCTCGTTCTAAAACTTATATGGAAAATACAAAAAGTCACAAATCACTACGACATTCTTGAAGAAGAACCAGGTGGGCAGAAGAACTAGATATCAAGATGTATAATAAAGCCATACGAAGCAAAGCAGTGTGATGTTGTACAGGGACAGGAAATAGAGTAATAGAACAGAAGCATGCCCTCACACCAGTGGACACTTAATAATCGACATGGGTGGCAATGCACAGCAGCAGGGTGGACAGGGTCTTCTTGGTAAACATTGCTAGAATAATTGACTACTCAAATGAAAAATAACTTAGTAGGATTCACATCACACACCAAGACCCAATGTGAAAAACAAAACTGTAAACCTTTTATGAGATAATGCAGGAAAATGTCTTCGTAACACAAAATGCACTAGCCATAACAGGAAAAGCTAATAACCCAACTACGTTCAACTTAAGAACTTTTGGGGTTTTTTTTATTTTCAAAGGATACCATAAAAAAAGAACAGTAAGACAAGCTATAAAACAAGAGGGTATTTATGACTCATATAACCAACCCAAAAAGGCTAGTATTTGGAATATATAAAGAACTCCACAAATCAATGATAAAAAAGCAGACAACCCAAAATATGGCCAAAAGGTTTGAACACTTCACAAAATAAGCTTGAATGTTTAATAATATATATGAATAAATGCTCAGCCTCATTAGTAAGCAGAAACATGGGCTTTAAAAGAACAATGAGATATAACCACATCCATCAGACTGGGAAAATCCTGACAGTGACCTTGGGTGGCATAGCATGGAGCTCCTGCACGGCTGGTTGGAGGGTCAATAGCTACAGCCTCTTTGGAAAACATTCTGGCATTATCTAGTAAAGCTGCAGACATACCTACACCTACCGTATGACTCAGCAGGTCCACTGTTAGGGTGTGTGTCCTAAGAATGTGTGCTCATGTGCGTAGGGAGCCTTGTGGAAGAATGTCCTGAGTAGCGTTTGTAACCGTCCAAAGCCAGACTCACACCAAGTCCATCAAAGTAAAAGAGATCAATTATTTAGTATATAATCTTGCAATGGAAGGTTATGCAGCAATAAAACTGGTTGGATTACATGAATTTTCTTTACATAAAGTGAAAAAAGCTTAACAAAAGAATATATTCCATTTATAAAAGTATGATTCCATTTATAAAAGTTTCAGAAGCTAAATGAAGAAGCTCTGTTCTTTAAGGCTGCATAACTACATGGTAAAGCTATCAAGGAAAGAAACTTAATAGTATAAAAGTAGGAATAGTGATGAACTTCCGTCGCAGTGGGGCTTGTGGTAGGGAACATCTGTTGTGCCAGAAGTGCTGTATCTTAACCTAGGCGATGATGAACACAGGATACACTTTATAACTCTGTCAAGCCATATGTGTTCCATGTTCTTTTATATGCATGTTATGTTCCATAATAGTTTTTAAAAATATATCACATACTAAAACAAAGTATCATCCCACTGCATAAGCATTACCTAATGTCTAGCCTTACTACAAGATCCTGCCAAACAGGTGTGGTCCCATTTTACATTCAGGAAAACTGAAGTTTAAATGGCTAGGTATTTTATTTTTTCCAGATAGGCTGGTCATTGCCTAGGGTGCACTAGTAAAGTGATGGAAGCCAGAGCCCCCACTCCAGGCCCTTTGTGTCCTATCCAGAGGTTTTCCATGCTGGAAAGACTCCAGCTTCTGCAGTCTCACTATGGCTCTAAACTTAAGTGTTCCTTTCTCCAGTCCTACAACCCATGTCTTTCTCAAAGTAGACCCACCATTTCCCATCCACTTCCCACCTCCCACCTGCCTGATTCGTGCTCCATTCCATCCCATCATCTTTGATCCACAAGACCCCCAACTGGGGCTTTAAAAAACTACACATAACTATTGTCCCATACGCACCTCTGCTGCGTCCTCCATGGGAGGAAGTTGTGATGTTCCTCCAACATATTCTGACCCTAACTGTCCACACTGCTATCCGGAAGCCACATCTGGCCACACCCTTACAGCCTTGCTCTCAGAGGAAATATTACTCTGGGCTCTAGAGGACTCTAGAGAAGCACTTGGCCCCTGAGGCAGCCTATATCCTTGCCTGAGGGAGCTGGCCCACGGGACAGAATGCCGGAGTCTGCTCCCACTCAGGATGAGACACAGAGAGTTTTGCACCTGCCTGATTTCAGGCCACGGGGGAGTCCGTGTTGGTACATACAACGTCACTGTTCTCCCTTGCCTAGGAATGTACAAGGTGATCGGGGGCATCATCTCTCCCGTCAACGACAACTACAGAAAGAAAGACCTCGCGGCTGCCCACCACCGGGTGGCAATGGTCCGACTGGCCCTGCAGACATCCGACTGGATCCGGGTGGACCCCTGGGAGAGTGAGCAGGTGCAGTGGATGGAGACGGTGAAGGTGCTGAGGTAACAGTGAGCATGCTTTTGTGTGATGACCAGAGGCCATGGGATGTATCTGCAGAGCCCAGTAGGTGAAAGGCAGGGACCAAGGATCAAGCGAGGCTTCAGCCAGGCTTTCTCAGCCCAAATCCCAGCAGTGCTTCTTCGTAGAAGGAGAGAGACCAACAGACACACTCAAAGAGGTTCTGAGTGAAAAGATCACAACCCATCGCCCTTCAGGACACACTTTCTGGGAACACCCAATCTTGTTTTAGAGGGCTGTATCCTTGGGCCCCAGGGCCGCCACCTAGTAGCTGTGTGACAAGGCACTTAAGTTCTCAGAAACACATCTCTCACTTGCAAAATGGGGCCCATAAAACCTAATGAGGACTTTTTAAATGTAAGAACTTCTGACGCAGAACCCCATAAGAATATTCAGTAAGTGGGACCTTTTATCATTGTCACCATTGACTAGGTTGAAAATTACATCTACGTAATAAGCCATCTTTTCTAATTGTACAAATCCTGGGTTCTGTAAATCAGGACTTTTATGTAAAATTGAAAAGTAAAAGCCTATAAATCTAGCAATAGTTGCTCAGGATTTTTTTTTCCTTTTGGAACTGCTGTTAGCACTTAGCCTAAGTAATTTGCTACTTAAAGGCCCTGCAATTCTGCATGTTCGGACAGTGAGTGGGTCACGGATTTGTGTCTGGGACACATTCCTAGAGAAGCCAGAAACCCCACCCGACCTGGCTTTCAGAGGGGACTGTGAGGGGGCCCCTGCCTGTCACTAATGACAGACAGACCTGCCGGAAGGGATTGCAGACTGTGTGGGCTGTGTCTTATCTATTTGGAAACACTAGGATTGTCAGAGAATAGGAATCACGCGAGAGAAGGTCAAATAATTGGTGGGCGTGTTCATCCTAAATCTGTTTAGCTTTTTATTTTTTACTCATCTTCAAAGTTACTTGGTTGAAAACTGTTTACCCTTTCCTTTTAGTCACAGTAAACATTCAGTTCATTTAGTTACACATCCTGGTTCTGACCATTTGCCTTTCACTTGGGAAAGAACCAGCCAGAAGCACTCAGCAATTCTGTGCTACTTCAGAACCTGCTGGCAAATTAAAAGAAGAGCAAATATGAAATAGCTGTTAGGATACATGTTTTCTTTTTTAACATAAAAAATAAATTTACACCTAAATCATCCCTTCGGAACAAGCAATCCAGCCAGCTCTCATCTCTCTAGGACAGCAGAGGGGGATGCAAACAAAACTACATAATCTAGCACACCATTTAGCTTTAACATGTAGTCAGAGGGGCTCCTGGGTGGCTCAGTCGGTTAAGTGTCCAACTTTGGCTCAGGTCATGATCCCACGGTTCGTGGGTTTGAGCCCCACATAGGGATCTGTGCTGACAGCTACCTCAGAGCCTGGTGCCTGCTTCAGATTCTGTGTCTGCCTCCCTCTCTGACCCTCCCCTGCTCACCCTGTCTCTCTCTCTCTCAGAAATAAAAAATAAAAAATAAAAAAAACATGTAGTTAGAAACAAAGACCCTTTCCTCCTGTACCCTGGAAGAAGCAGTGAGGCCTAGGGCCCAGATTTTGAAGCCAAATTTACTAGCTCAGTGACTTGATGTAAGTGAGTTAGCCTCACTGAACCTCAATTCCTCACCTAATAAAACGGGGATGACACCACCTACTACTTTGGGGTACTGTGTGAATTAAATGGGATATGTGGGCAAAATACCTGGCTTATGGTAGGTGCTTAATAATGCTAGCTACCTTCTTTGCCTCCCTAACACTTATCCTTCAAGCAGATAAGCCATTCCTAGATAAATAGGAACTGACCACAGAACTACATAATATTGTCACTGCTTCTGCCACAAAATGCAGGTGTGTGCTAAGATATTACTGAACACATTCTTTTTCTTTTTTTACTCTATCCTTAAGTTCCATGTTTTTTGGCCCTGGCTGCACACTGAATCACCGAGGGAGCTTTCAAAAGTACCGAAGTCGAGTCTTATCCCAGAGACTGGGATGTCATTGGTCTGGGGCAGGGCATCAGAGTTTTTAAGAGCTCCCTGGTTATTCTAACGTGTGGCCAGGATTGAGGCCACAGCCCTCAGTCACAAAGTATGTAAATCAGGTTTATGATTAGGTTGAAAATCCATCCAAACCAATGGACCCTGGCTGTGAGAATCACCCGGGAAGCTTCTTAAAATGCTCATTCCCCACTGGGTGTTGTATACAAGCCAATTTGACAATAAATTATATTCATTTAAAAAATACCAGCTAAAATTTGGGGGGGGAAAAAAAGCTCATTCCCCACCCCCTACCCCACCTCAGAGATTATGATTTATGGAGGGTGGAGGCATTGGTATTTTGTAAAATGTCCCAAAATGATTTATTTTGTGCAGCCAAGGTTGGAAATCCATTGATATAAATAGACAACACAGTTTTATCAGAGAGCTGATTACATTTTTTTCAATTAGAAAATGTGATTGCTAATGCTTTCCTAAAATTACCAAAAGCATTTTTTTTAAGATTGAAAATCTAATATTTGTAAAGTGAGACTATTTTAAAAGCATGGTAGAAATAGTGACACAAATAGTGTCACTATGACAAATGTCACTATGAAGTAAATTCACGGTAGGGTTCATTAAGGATTCTTTTTCTCCTTATCGGGTTGTTTACTTTTACTCTTTTTTTTTCTTTAAATCAAGGCCAGTTTTTATGCTTTTAGGGCATTTGATAACTTACTTCGTTCACCATCTGCCCATGTTGAAGATTCTTAGTCACAATGCCATTTGATGTGGCCCATCATCATCACTACTGTCATCTCATGAACCCATTTGCAAGCATGATCTTCTGTTGTCCTCATTTTACCGATAAAGAAACTTGAGGTTCAGAGAGGCTAAGTTAATCAGTGTCACAGAACAACTCTGACTCTGAAGCCATACGTATGGTCCTCTTCAAACCAGTGATCTACAGCTCGGGCACAGTGTGGCAAGCTTTGTCACTGCCACCATGACCCTCTGACCAGACATCCCTGGAAACCTGTGGGCTGCGGAATACAAAAAGAACGTCTCCCAGGGTCAGCCCACAGGCCCAGGGCTGGGCACACCAGGGCGCCACTGAGGCAAACAGCAAGCGGAAGCAATGGCCACTGCCCTACAAAGGCAGAGATAGGTCTGTGAGGTAGAGACATATGGCACTGAAAATAATTACTGACGCATCAAAGTTCAGAGACCCAGCTAATATTCAAAGTAGGGTCAGGTTGAACTAGGAGCTTCAAGGAAAGTAAAATAAAATGATCATCACCACCTTTACTGATCACTTACTGCACTCTAGGCTTTTTCAGGTATATAATATCTAGTCATCTCAGCAGCTCTGAGAAGTAGGTGCGTGTAGTCCCATTTTACATATGAGGAAATGGAGGCTTGGTTAGGGTCAGTAACATATGCAGGATCCCACAGTTAGAACGTAGTGGTGAGACTCATACCTACTTCAGTCTGCTGCAAGATTCCAGACTAACTCAGGAGCCACTCCTCAGACATGAAGCTTACCACAACCAAAGCAGACAATAATGGAAACAGAGTGCACCCAGGCCCTAAGATCTGACTGAGTCTCTGAGATATCACAAAGATATCTCAGAATTAGGCCAGAATTAAATGTTTTTCTTCATCTACTCCTTCCATCAGGTCCTGAATTCAGCTGACTTTAGGGAAGCAGTTACTGAACTAAAACTATAAAGAGGACTTAAAGGAGCTCACTGTTCACAGACTGACAGTAATGATGCTAAGAACAGCTAATGCTGATTGGGCACTCTCTGTGGATGGGCCAGTGCTAAGCTCCTCCATTAATCCTCAGTATGGCTCACAGGAGTGGGTGCAGTCAGCATCCCCCATGCTACAGATGGGGAAGCTGGAGGCAGATTGCTTAAGGAACCCATCAAGACTCCACAGCCACTAGCTGAAACCAGAATTCCAACCAAGCAGTCTAATTCTGAAGTTTAACCTTTACACTATGTCTTTCCCCGGTGATAATCAGCAGTGAGCCAACTGCCCAGCACTGAGCAGAGTAGAGGCACTTTCTCTCTCAAGGTCCTGTGATACTCAGCAGAGAAAAGGTCAGCATTAACTTCCATGATGACCAATTCACAGATGAGATCAGTGAGGCTCTGAGAGTGTCAGTGACTCATTCAAGATCACAGAGGCAAGAAAACCTAAACTCGAACCCACCCACTCTGGCTGCAAAGCATCTGCTTTCTCCACGAGGCACTGCTCCCTCCCAAACACAGATCTCAAAGATGTGTAAGACAGTAGGCAGACGGTGGAAGATTGAATTGATATAAGACATGGTGACTACCTGTGTTTGATCAGCTATCTCTTGATTTGCACACTGGTTTGCTAAAAGAGCTAGGTATGCCAAGATGGTGTAAGTCTAGTCAGAGCCTAAACGCTAACATGTAATTAGAGCTGCTCCTTCCTACTCACTGTTCACTGCCCTTTGTGTGTGTAACTCCTTTATTCTTTGTGACCCTCCAGAAGAGGCACATATGACCATTATCCCTCGTTACGCAGGTGCTGAACCATCCACACAGAGACCTGGAGACACAGGCCCAGGGTCACCCAGCTGGCCTGTCGGGGAGCTGGGCGTGGGCCCAGGCAGTCTGGCTCCAAGCCAGACTCTGACCCATGGAGTTCTGATATACTAGTTTATGACAATAGTGAGCGGCGGGCCACGCACTGTGACAGTGCTTACTGTATACTAGCTCATTTACCTTCTCAAAGGTCTAAAAAGTAGACATTACTATCCCAGCTTTACAAATGAAATTTTTTAATGTTTACTTATTTATTTTGAGAGAGAGAGAGAACAGGGGAGAGTCAGAGAGAGAGGGAGGGAGAGAATCCCAAGCAGGCTCCACAGTATCAACATAGAGCCTGATGTGGAACTCAAACTCACAAACCGTGAGATCATGACCTGAGCTGAAAATCAAAAGTTGGACACTTAACTGACTGAGCCACCCAGGTGCCCCTTTACAAATGAAATTTTTTACTTTGGACTCAGGTCTGTCAGATTCTAAAGGCCCATGTCCTTAATCCCTACTCAATTTTTTTTTTTAAGTGAGATATTGAAGACAATGTTAAAAAAGTAGAAATATGCTCACTCCCCGCCCCCCGCCCCTTTCACCAGGGCTCAGAGAAGGCAGTGGATGGTCAAGAGGACCCAGTCACACCTGCTTACTGTCCCAGCACCTGGCACAGGCCTGGCACATGGTAGGCCCTCCACAAATATTTGTGGAACGAGCTACCTACCTCAAACGGACAAAAGCAGGTTGAGACTTAAAAAACTGAGACCCCTGGGTGGCTTTGCGGGACGGACACACCCTGAGCCCGTGTGTTTGCAATGCAGGCATCATCACAGAGAACTGCTCAGATCTCTGCCCCAGACGGAAGGCCCGGAGCACGGCAGGGCTCGCTCGTCAGCCCCCACAGGTGGGTGCAGACCCTCTCATCCATCGGAGGGAGAGATGTACGGATCCGTGTGAGAGCCAACCCCTAGGCACAGCTAAGGATTTTGAGGCTCCCCTGGTTGGGGTGACACTTCCCTAGATTGAAAGGTCAAAATAAACAATTAGCCACCACCTCCTTGTAAGTTATTACACTAATTTAAGATTTTCTGCCCCAAAGGAGTTTACGTACTCTCGTGACTCATGCTTGTGACAAGGATTACTGTCAGGGCTACACAGGGATAATCGGTGAGTGATGCTGGGTTCTTTTAAAAGCCTGGGTACAAAGTGTACCACTGTAACCCTTATACTTGAAGCCGTGTTCCTCACTGGTTTACTAAAAATGGGAAATTAAGAGGATTTTTTTTTGGAGCCAACTTGTATTGTATTTGTCTCTTTTGCTGGACAGCAGCAGTCACACCCGCTGTGTGTACATGTGTGTACACACAACAGAGATACACCCACTGCCCATACCTACAGCGCAGACAGTGCCAACCGTGCCTGTAAGGACAGCAAACATATAGCTGCTGCCTGTTACACAGGAAGATTCCATAACCAATGGAACCGGAACAAACAGGGTGGTCCTGTGTCACGTGGGCTTATGGATCAGCATGTTGAAAACGGAATGAGGTCCGTCCCTCCTCCTGTCCCTCTGGTGGGATGTGCCTAGAGCCAGGGAAGGCCGGGCAGGCCCCCGAGCTCTGCCTGTGTGTTGTCTGGCCCCCCCAGTAAGAGCCTGTGTGCCGCCACCCACCCCAGTGGCTGGTGGTCTCAGGGGCCAGGGGACGGGAGACCACACATCTCCCCAGACTGGCAGCTCCACCAGGGGGCACTCCTCAGGCACGAGCTCACCTGAATGACCCACCTGCATTTAGAATATTCGAGGACAGTCCTGAAAGGGCCTTCCCTGTCCACCCCCTCCGAGCAGGAGCATCGTGGCCACGCCTGGTGGCCAAAGTGTGGAAACACCACCTGCCCTAACCTCAGCACACTCCGGCTTCTTCCTCTAATGGGTCCCCGTAGTTGCCGGCTACTCTGACTGTTCAGGGAACTAAGAAGGCGTTCATATCTAATATCTAAAGCAGTTTGAAAATAAAGCCAAGAGGAAGACCAGAGAAGACCATGTCACTGAGCAGGAACAGAACTGTACACACCAGCAGCCACCATCAGACACTAAGCAGGTCTCCCCTGTGCTTCCTGCCAGCCACGGGTGGTGTCAAAAGTCCATGTGGATTGTCCTTTCAATGTGTAACCCAGGGTTTCTACTCTGCTATCAGCTCCTCATGTTTGATGAAACCTTGTCTTCAAGGTTTTGAAAGCTGTGACTTCAAAGTACCTTCCCTCTCTGATGGCAGCCCTGGTACCAGGAGTCAAGTTTATTTGCCCCTCATGGGAATAAACAGAAGCACCTGGCCATGGAAGGGCAGGATGTGACACGAGCAGGGAATCACTGGTCCCATTGGGCTGAAGCCTCAGTGGGCCCAATCTGTGGGGTTTCCTAACCAGGGTCTCCCAACTGCAGTGGTGGGATGCTAGGTCTGGATCAGAAGGGCTTGGGAACGTCATAGTTAAACTAAGCTAACTGGAAAATCGGGATTTTTCAGAGCCTTTACTACGATCCTGTGCATTGTGACTCTACAAGAAAGGCAACTGCCATCATCACCTTTTAATCATGGGACCCTTTGTAACACATACTGGTATTTCTCAGAACCAGTGCCCACCCCCAGAACATAGATTAGGAAACACTTCTAAGAAGACTCAAAAATGCCCATGGGCCCTAAAAATACGAAGCAGCAGGCCTCAAATACTAGTCAAAGGATCACTCACAGCAGAATCGCCTGTGAGGCTTATCATGCTTCCCAGGCCACACCCCAGACCTCCTGAGTGGGAATGGGTCCTGAGAATCTGCATGTTTGTTTAACAGGCACTTGGGGATTTGCTTTACAGCCTATTTGGGGATCGGCAGCTAGAGTAGGAATCTAAAGAGTTACAGCATCTTTACAGTGTTCACTGTATTCCTCTGGTCTGTCTGCCTCTCTTACCCCCTGCCCCTGACTCATGAGCACAGACACTGTTATTTCTCAGCCTTCTTTCTGAATCATCTCTGGCTCAGCAGCTACGCTTACCAGGGTTCAAAACACACTCTCCGAGCCTCCCCAGGCCAGGCTCCGGACTCAGGAGGAAAACAAAGATGGCCACCCCCACCCAACCCCTGACCTAAGCTACAGACAGGCTGTGAATGGTAGTCCAGACGTGGATTAGGAAGGCTGCCTGGAGGAAGAGACACTTGTACCAAGACTCATAGGATCAATAGGTTATCTGGGGTTGGGGGCACTGCCGGGCACCGAGGCAGGAAAGAGCATCGGTGCTGGGCACCCCTTGCTGTTAGGGAATGCTGGAGCTCCCAGGGATGGGCAGGGAGCCTCCAGTGATGTGGGAGGGATGCCACACTAAGGGTTTCCGCCCTCACCTCCCTAGACGTGGCTTCCAGAATCCCAATCCCAGCTCTTTGCCAGGACTGCCCTTCCTCCCCGTCCCCTTCTTGGCTCCTCTTTTGAAAACCTATCTGTCATGTTAGGCCAGGTTGCCTGTGGGACCCACCTTTCCTGTGAAACAAATGCCAGCTGCTTTCACAGAGAAACGCTCACTCTCTCCCTCCCTCCCTCCACCAAAGCTCACCCACATTCTTTTCAGATTTATTTTTCTAGGGGCTACTCTTCTTAGCCCTATAATGCTGGGAGTCTGTTCTTTATCCCCTTTCTCACTCTTCAAACCCCAAATCCTGCTCATCTCTTGTTCTCTACTAAAGTAACTGTTAAGAAAAAAATTTAATGTTGAATGAAAAGTGAGTTTTTTTAATTTACTAAAATATATCAGGGACTTTAAAACTGTTCATGTCCTTTATGTGATGTATTCCCTTTCTAGGGATCAGACTATGGAAATAATTAGAAATTGGGACAAAGGTTTATGTAGAAAGATGTTTATCACAGCCATTTTTATAATGGCAGCAAACCAAAGCAACCTCCATTTAAATATAAAGGAACATTTAACTAAATTATTCTGTGTACGTAGGATGAATAACTGACACAAAATGTTTCTGGAGAAAGGCTTATGAGGGAAGTGGAAAAATCAGGATACGAGACTGTATATGAAAGCTCAAGTATATTAAAAAAAAACATGTAAAATATATTTCCACTTCTATTTGCAGGTCTAAATCAATATAAAAAACTGAAAACATACACTAAAAGAGTGGAAGTTTTTGTAGAAAGCAGAATTGTTTTCTACCTTAAATACATGTTTTTCATACATTTTATAATGGACGCAGATTTCAGGTTTGTGATCAGAGAAGGGGAAACTAGAGAAATTACAAAAGGGAAGGTGCGGTTCTTCCTCAGCGTAGATTTGGCTTCTGACAAGGTGGCTTGTATGTTCCTAGCGACAGATCTCTAAAGGACCATTCTGTGTGCTGTGTATTTTATCGTGTGTTGTCCTCTGAGACCGCAGCGTGGGGGCTGAGCTCAGCAAACTCCGGCTGCCGAGCCCTGCTCTGCTCATCACTCGTGTGATTTGCAGTCCTCTGTTGACTGACCCATCCGTGCCCACTGCCAGATTCCCAACTGCTTGGCTGTGACACTTTGGGACAGATGATCCCTCGGTCCTCTAACAGCCCGAAGGTGTCAGTCTTTTGTGAAGGGGGTCCCTGCGCTTAGCTGAGGGGGCCAAGCACATCTCGGCAACCTTCAGAGAGGATTCCCTTTCCAGCCACCACAGCAGGCATCTCATCTGATTCCCTCTTGCACTGATTATTCCACGGTGGCCTTGTCTGGTTAATTTGGGTGCTGCCCTTTAATACCTGGCTTCAGCTCTGGTGTCCTGTTTCCCCGGAAGTCCCACACTACTGAGTGTGGCTGCATAGCTGGGTCCATACCCCGCACTAGGCAGCAGATTCACAATGTATTCAGTCCACCCCTCAATTTCCACAACCTCCATGGGAGGTCAGCCCCCTTTTACAGCTGAGGAAACAGGCCCATCTGCTGTAATTCTCGCAGGGTTCTGGCGGATCTAAAATCAGAACCCAGGTTTTGATTTGTATTTCCCTGATGAGGAGGGATGCTGAGCATCGTTTCATGTGTTTGTTGGCCATCTGGATGTCCTCTTTGGAGAAGTGTCTGTTCATATCTTCTGCCCATTTCTTCACTGGATTGTTTGTTTTTCCTCACACCGGTCAGAGTGGCTAAAATGAGCAAATCAGAGAACTCTAGATGCTGGCAAGGTTGTGGAGAAATGGGCACCCTCCTACACTGTTGGTGGGAATATAAACCTGTGCAGCCCCTCTGGAAAAGAGTGTGGAGGTTCCTCAAAAAATTAACAATAGAACCTCCCTATGACCCAGCAATAGCACTGCTAGGAATTTACCCAAGGGATACAGGAGTGCTGATGCAGAGGGGCACATGGACCCCAACGTTCATAGCAGCACTCTCAACAATAGCTAAAACATGGAAAGAGCCTAAGTGTCCATCAACGGATGAATGGATCAAGAAGATGTGGTTTATCTATACAATGGAGTACTACATGGCAATGAGAAACAATGGCCATGTGTAGCAACATGGATGGACCTTGAGGGTGTCATGCTGAGCGAAATACGTCAGGCAGAGAAGGACAAATACCATATGTTTGCACGTATAGGAGGATTAGAAGGAACTTAACAGAGGACCATGGAAGAGAAGAAGGGGGGAAGTTGGGGGGGGGGAAGAGGGAGGGAGGCAAACCATGAGAGACTCTTGAATGCTGAGAACAAACTGAGGAGTGATGGGGGGGAGGAGAAGGGGGGAGATGGGCATGGAGGAGGGCACTTGTGGGGATGAGCACTGGGTGTTACATGGAAACCAACTTGACAATAAACTAAGGAGAGAGAGAGAGAGAGAAAGAAAAGAAAGGAAAAGAAAAGAAATCAGAACCCAGGGCTGACTGACCTCAGGGCTGCTATTCTTGATATAAAGAATTAGGGCAGCTAGACATTCAAAGAAAAAGGTCTTGCTGGCACTTCCCTCACTTTTCATGTAAATCTGTGCTTCATCTACTTTTCAAAGCCGGTGGCTATTCCAAGAGAGCACAGTGCCCCCAAAATGCCCACAGACAGCAGATTTAGGTCACTATATCATGGTTAAGACGAATCAAATCCACAGCCTTCATACAGCACTTTAGACTTAACATACTTTGGACTTGGACAGTCAGTCACTCAGTCTGAAGAGCTCATAGCCGTGATGTGAATGGATTTGAAAGACATCTGTAATGGTCTCTTTGAGGACTGCCTAGAGTTGGAGTCCAAGACACGTGCTGCCAGAAGAAGTGATCACCCCACAGACACACCTTTGATTTAGGGGAAAGGGAGGCGTGGGCATGTGTCACCGGTCAGCAAGAGCACACAGTGAATTGTACTTATGTCAGTGTTAATAAATCAAAAGTATCTAATATCAAAGCCAGTAGGTGGGACTTACCCACAAAAATCCACTGCCAGAAGAAGGGGATGTCCTCTGTTCTTTGACCTGTGGAACGGGGGTGGGGGGTGGGGGGTGGGGGGGTGGGGAGAGGGTGCTCCAGGTATCAGGAGACCCTACACATCATTTCTAATGTGCTAAATGTGCATCATTTCACCCAGCCATTTGAAAGGTCAAGCCTGGTCTCTTGCTGTATTACAATGGTTGAATAAATAAACTGGAGTAAAATAAATAAATAAACAGATGCAGAATAGTTCAAGTCCACAGTCGTTGTGAGTAAGGGGCCAGCTCAAATGAGTGAAAAGTGTGGGCTGAGTAATTTTTAAACAGTTTTACTGACTTTAAAAATACTCCAAGTGTTGAATGGATGTGTCAATGAATGGATTAGCGGATAGGCAGGTGGACAGAGGAATGGCAGTTAACTGCTATCACACTTACTGTTACAAGCACTTTACATTTATAAATTCATTCAATTCTAAAATAGCCCTAGAAGATAAGTACTGTTAATATCCACATTTTAAGGTTGAGGTCACACAGCTGTTGAATGGCAGAGGCAGGGATTGAATCTAAGATGCCTGGCTTTACAGTTCTAGTTCTTAACCATGGAGAATGTATGAATAAATGCATCAGTAAATGTTTGAATATCATTTCATTATACGGATAGTATGCTGCTAGAGTGTTTGAAAATTCTGTTTCTGTAATTATATCTCCAACTTCAAAAGGAGTAAACAAGTCTTTCATGGACGGGAAAAGTGAGGCTCAGAGAAGGATGCATCTGGTCTCCAGCTCCACAGCAGCCTGTGCCCACACCCCTCCAGGACAGCTCCTGTTTCTCACTTTCCATTCCACAGCTGGTCTGGTGCTCCTTGGGAAACTCCTCTCTCTGAGCCTATGTCCAGATTCCTTCCCAAGCTCCACAGTAGAGGAGCTTCAACTGACCATTTATATCAGGTGTTTCCCCAGCAGGTGGCATACCTAAACCCCCTCCCAACTCAAGTTTCATGGTGACCAAGAGATGCCAACACTCTAGAAACACAGCTTTTGCCATTTACTGAAGCTAGAATCAGCTTCTGGAAGGACCAGAGATCCTAGTGTTTGCTTCAAGCCTGGACTTGATTTTTTTTTCCTTTCCAAACTAGCCCTTTGAAAAGTGCCAGGAAAATCAAGGAAGGGCTTCTTGGTTCTGATGCATGTACAATTTCCTCCAGCAGGAGGCGACAGAGCCCAGAAGTTACAAATGCCCCACCTGGAGGCGGGCTCTCTGGTTGGATCCTGATTGTGCCTAAATGAGTGACTTGAGGCAAGCAGTCGCCTCTCTGTGCCTGTTTCCCTCTCTGCAGCATGGGCACAACAATAATGCCTACCTCATGAAACTGTTCTGAGGAGCAACTACATCAAGCGCTTAGTGATAGTGCTCGTAATGAGCACCCAGTCAACGTTAGGTTTTCTTTTATCATTACAACCATCATTCTGTTAGAACAGATGCCAGAGGATTATCCACATTGATTAGTTGTTCTAGAGCTTTGTATTGAGAACACATGAAAAGGTCACTGGCTTTTGGTTATCCAAATAACCTTTTTCGTTAACCTTAATGAGATTTTACTTATAAAGGTATCAGGTGTTAGGGCTGAAATAGACTTTGAGAAAGGCAGCAATTTGCCTGAAACCCACAACTTGTTAGGACTAGAGATTTTACAACCATACCTTCTATCAGAAGACAGGGTTCACAGCCACCTTTGGACCACTGCCATGGGGTTCAGCAACCACAGACAAATTTTTGGTAGAATACTGAGGAAAAACAACAACAACACAGTTGTTTTGATTTCTTGGCACTTTGCCACTATTTATTATTTTTCTTTTGTAGTTTATTGTCAAGTTGGTTTCCATATAACACCCAGGGCTCATCCCAACAAGTGCCCTCCTCCATGCCCATCATCCCTCTTCCCCTCTCCCCCACCCCCATCTGCCCTCAGTTTGTTCTCAGCATTCAAGAGTCTCTCGTGGTTTGCCTCCCACCCTCTCCCCAACTATTTTTACCCTTCCTCTCCCCCATGGTCCTCCATTAAGTTTCTCCTGTTCCACATATAAGTGAAAACATATGGTATCTGTCCTTCTCTGCCTGAATTATTTCACTCAACATAACACCCTCAAGGTCCATCCACGTTGCTACAAATGGCCAGATTTCATTCTTTCTCATCACCATGTAGTATTCCATTGTATAAACCACATTTGTTTGATCCATCTGTCAGTTGATGGACATTGAGGCTCTTTCCATGATTTCACTATTGTTGAAAGTGCTGCTATGAACACTGGGGTCCATGTGCCCCTCTGCATCAGCACTCCTGTGTCCCTTGGGTACATTCCTAGCAGTGCTATTGCTGGGTCATAGGGGAGTTCTAATGTTAATTTTTTGAAGAACCTCCACCTCTGTTTACCAGAGTACTTCGCCACTATTAAACACAACATTTATTGATTGGATTATTACTTACAACTGTATGTCCCTGAAGTAGCTTCAGACCGTCTTACACACTTCAGTCATGAACACAGTGTAGCCGGCTGACTTCCCAATACACTCCAAGAAAAGCACTTTTTGCCCTTTTCAAATGGAATATGATGTTATCTTTACTGGCCGTGACCCTCCTGTAACCTTGTAGGGATCCACCCTTGTTTTTCCAGCTGTGCCTGAGCTGAAGCTCCTCTGCGGGGCAGACTTCCTGAAGAGCTTCCAGACCCCCAACCTCTGGAAAGACGCACATATCCAGGAAATAGTGGAGAAGTTTGGCATGGTGTGTGTGAGCAGGACGGGTCACAACCCAAAGGAATACATCTCAGCTTCAGCCATCCTGCAGAGGTACCAGCACAACATTCACTTGGTCAGGGAGCCCGTGCAGAATGAGCTCAGCTCCACGTATATCAGGAGGGCGTTGAGCCAAGGGCAGAGCGTCAAATACCTGCTCCCAGACGCCGTCATCACCTACATCAAGGAGCACAACCTCTACGCAGGGGACAGTTCCTAGAAAGACAACAGCACCCAGAGAAATGAAGGAACGACAGGCTGGGGAGACCCAGCCACTCTTCCACGAGCTCCTCCTCAGTGAAGAGCAGCTAAGGTCTTCGGTTTCTTTGTTTTTTGTAGTTTTTTTGTTTTTTGTTTTTTGCTTTTCCATTTTTCCTTTGTTTTATATAGACAACGATTTTATTTCAGAGGGGTCTTCTTTCCCAGGATGAGATACCTTCTTTTGGGAGGAACAGGCATCTACACAAGAATGGACATTTATCGAAGAAGCTAAAATGGTGCAACAGGCCATTAGGGCTAGACAAAAACTCTCGGAACTGCCCGGTGCAAGGCCTTCTTATTTGGTAAACGCTGATTGTGCCATGCGCGCTGAAGGTGGTTCTGCAAGAGGCGCGGGCCCCTGAGGGTCAGATCAGAATGGCCCACGCACGTTTGTTAACTAGGACCAGGTGCAGCCTGCTGGTCTTGATTGGAGAGACTTGACAGGATGCTAATTACCAAACGGTGGGCTCTGTCAACGCCTTGTTGCAACAAAATACTGCTAATTGAGGAGTCAAGCATTTGGAAACAGCACTTTGCCCATTTACTTTGAATCTTCCCTTAAGAACCACTGTCTGCCTGCCCAGACTGTAGATAAAATTTAAACTAAAATCTTTCTAAGTAGTGACGCTCAAACAATATTTTTGATACGGCAGATATCAAAATATCTTTTTAACAGGACTTTTTAAATAAATGCCAGGACTCCTGATTTCCAAATTTCCAAAAAGGAACGGAGGTAAAACAGATGCCTTGACTATTTTAAAAGATCTTTTTGAATGTTTTATGACTACCTGCCTATTTGAATACTGGTAAAGGGATAAATAATAAATTGACATCAAAAATACTAATGAAAAGTTTCTCTTTTTTCTTCCTTTGTTATATTATTAATGCCTGATATACCAGATGTTGCTCTTCTTTTTAGCTACTCTATGAAATTTGCTACTGTTGCAGTGGAACTGATATGAATTCATAAAAGTTTATATTCCCAGCTACTAGCAATGGAGAAGCAATTGTTTTCAACATCTTGCAAAGAGGGCTCTAATCTGAAGCTCTGGGTCGATGGCTCTGTTCAGGTGGGCTCTGAAGGATGAGAAAAGACACCTCATGTGTGTTCAGGATTTTCATTCCACTCCTGATTAAGAAGAGGTTTTAATTGGCCTAATTCTGTTTGAGTTTGCTCTTTACACTTACTGACCAAATGACCGGATGCATTCAGAATTTACTGCTGCTCCATATTTTCACCCTCATTCATCCTTGCTATGGATTTAGTCATGCAGAAAAACAAAGGGCCAGTCAGGAAGAATCTAGTATCTCCCCAAACATATCCCAGTGTTCATGTGTGTGGCATGATAAAGAGGAGTAAAGTAGGCAATCAGGATTCCTGGGTCTAGAGTAGTGGGGCCCTCCTGGTGGGCGGGAGGTGGGACTCCCCTACACCTCCACCCCCCTGCAAGCTCTAAATCTGCTAGCCGTTCCCCACTCTGACTGAGCTCTGCACCCCACGGGGTCTCTAAGAACCCTGATAATCCAGGGGAATAGGAATCAAACAGCCTTGTTCACAGCCAGCTGTGTGACTTTGACCAGCTCCTTTCCCCACTGTAAGCCTCAGTTTCCCAAACTCTAAAATGGGGCAGTTTCACTAGACAGTCTTTTTTTTTTAATTTTTAATGTTTATTCATTTTCGAGAGAGAGAATGTGAGTGGGGGAGGGGCAGAGAGAGAGAGAGAGGGAGAGAGACACAGAATCTGAAGCAGGCTCTGGGCTCCGAGCTATCAGCACAGAGCCCGACGCGGGGCTCGAACCCACAAACCTGAGCCAAAGTCGGAGGCTTAACCAACTGAGCCACCCAGGCACCCTGGATTAGACAGTCTTTAAATTCACCTGGGTGGCTCAGTCGGTTAGGTGTCTGACTTCGGCTCAGGTCATGATATCTCGGTTTGTGGGTTCAAGCCCCGCATCGGGCTCTGTGCTGACAGCTCAGAGCCCAGAGCCTGCTTTGGATTCTGTGTCTCCCTCTCTCTCTGACCCTCCCCTGCTCACGCTGTGTCTCTCTCTCTCTCTCAGAAATTTAAAACAAAACAAAACAAAAACATTAAAAAAAATTCTCGTCTAGCTCTGGTTTTCTCAGGCTCTGAGTGCCCCGCTTCAGCCTGCCCTGCCCACCCTTCTTTGGGTCCAATTCACTGCTAGCCACACTGGAAGCTCTCCAACGGCAGAGGGTCTTTATTATGTTTATTGATGTATCCTTTGTGCCCAGAAGTGTGCTGTTACAAACATGGTCACAGGACCCAGGGTTTGCATACCCTGGGATAGAAATGCAGACTCTCAGGCCCCACCCCAGACCTACTAACTCAGAATCTGCATTTTCATAAGATTCCCAAGCCATTCAACATGACCTAGAACAGTGCCTGTTACAATAAATACTAGTTTTAGTTTTTAATAAACTGAATATCTGATTGAAATTGCATGATGTTTACTCTGGTGAATATCTCTCTCCTTACCTCTGAGCAACAGTTTCCCACTATTCTGTATGGAGTATAGAAAGCAAACAGCTCAGGCACCTGGGTGGCTCTGTGGGTTAAGCATCTGATTCCTTATTTCAGCCCAGGTTGTGATCTCGCAGTTCGTGGGATCGAGCCCCATGTCCAGCTCTGCACTGAGCCTGCTTGGGATCCTCCCTCTCCCTCTCTCTCTTTCTCTGCCCCTTCCCTGCTTATTCTCTCTCCCAAAATAAATAAACTTTAAAGAAAGAAAGGATGCGGGGCACCTGGGTGGCTTAGTCGGTTAAGCGTCCGACTTTTGCTTAGGTCATGATCTCACAGTTCATGGTTCGAGCCCCGCGTCGGGCTCTGTGTTGACTGCCAGCACAGAGCCTGGAGCCTGTTTCAGAGTCTGTGTCTCCCTCTCTCTCTGACCCTCCCCTGCTCATGCTGTCTCTCTCTCTCTCTCTCCTAGAAATAAATAAAAATATTAAAAAAAAATAAAGAAAGGATGCAAAAAGCTGTAGTGTCCAGCAAAAACAGGGTAGAGAGGGATCGTGTGGGTTTGAGGCAGGATTTCTCAACTTGAGCAATATTGTCGTTCTGGGTCAGATCATCCTCTGCTGTCCTCCCAGCACTGGCTTCCCAGTGCAATTCGGATGCTGAGCAGCGTCGCCTTAGATACTAGGGGTACTTCCCACCATCTGTAAATGTAACAACAACAAGGACCCTGGACCCTTCCAAATGCCCCCCTGGGGCACAAAATAATTATGCTGGCTGAGACCCACTGGTTCAAGGACATGGCTGGGGTGGGGGTATGAGTGTGAGGAGGGTTTCCTCCATTTCTCAACAGGAAAGATCCACAAGCAGCAGCTTTAGAATACTGTCTTTAGAATTAAGGACTAGTTTGAGAGGAGTCCCCACCACTCATCAAGTCATGTCTATTCTGGGGGACACAGTGCTGTTGACAGTGGGAATGAGAAGCCAGGTCCTTGACCCAGAGGCACCCTCAACTTCAGTCTCCCTTACTTCCACGTGCCCATTGTGGCTTTCTCTCCCGTGTTTTTACAGGCTGAGACTTCGAGCAAACCCGGCACCCTCAGTACTGAACTGACATCCACAGCCTGGCAGGTGGAGACTCTCAATGAGTGGAAGCTAGAAGTTCTGTGATTATAATTATTGTGATTCAAAATTCAGCATTCATTTATTCGAAGCATTTATTGAGCGCCTCTCATGTACCAGGCCCTAGATAACACTAGGAGTATAATGATGAGCAAAACAGCCTCTCCTCTGGGGAGGCTTGCAGTCTGGTGGGAAGGTGGAGAGGAATCAAATATTCACATGACTACACATTAGACTACAGACTAGAATGAGGGTCGTCAAGACCCATACACAGTGTGCCATGCAGCCCTAGAGGCCCAGCTTCGCACGAAGTTAAGGAAGCTAAAGCTAGTCCCTCACTTGCTTGAGCCCTTTCCAACACCCCGGAGGGGCCTTTAATCATGTGGGGATCTAATTTCACATTCATGACTTTTATTCTTTTTCTGAAAAGTGGCCTTCAAAATTGTACAAAGTTTAGACTCCATAACACATCAGTGATTCCTCCTGCTAACAGAGTATAGAAAGCAGGGAAGAGAGGATGGATTTGAGAATGGAAAGATGAAATTCACAAGACTTGGGGATGGGTGGAGGCCCCTGGGCTTTCAGGCAGCATGAATAACATATGCAAAAGCCCTGAGGCAGGAGAGGGCAGAGTGAGCAGCATGATGATCTAGATTCATCAAGTCCTTAAGGAAGGGGTTTACTCTTGCAGTGTGCACCTCACAGCAGGCACCCTGGCATGCCACCTTCGCCCTGCCCCACCTTTCCATAGGTTCAGGGCACCGGGCCCACCTAGGCTCGGACGAGATGCCCTCATCTCTCTGATTCATGGCTGTCTCATGTGGCTCCCACCATTTCTGAGCCTTTACATTGTCTCCTTCTAAAAGAAAACAACACAACAAAATCTATTTTATAATAAAGTAGATATAAATACACACACACACACACACGTACACATGCATATATATCTCTCTCAATATCTAGACTCTTTGTCTCATTGATTCATGTAGCCTCCCTTTTTTTAGTATCAGAGGAGAAAATATGTATCACCACCACACTCCTGATTTATTGCATTGACACTGACCCGCATACCTGATTTCACATTCCTTTCCATTCCCTCAGGCCTTCTTTGCATCTAGTTTGCCAAGGTGTTTTGTTTATTTTGCAAGAACAGAAGCCCAGTGTTTTGGCCTCCTGGGTAAGTAGAATTTCCAGCCTTAAATAAAGGTTCTCCTGTGACAGCAGGCGCTGTCCAAAGGAGAGGAGCTCTGCATTCCAGCCCGAGGAAAGAACTTTCCATTTATGATACTGTCGGTGTCCCTTGGAACAGAATGATGTGAAATCCCATTTTAAACCACTAGTGCTCCAGATTGGCAAGGTCTGTTTGATAATTGGGTTAATACATGAACATAAACTTCCTCATCCCTGGCCTTGCACTCCCTATGCTAACAGCGTCTCTGCCTTCACTCTTTGCAAGGGTCTCCATGCACCCCCTGTGTTCAATTTCAGTCATGACTTTATTTTCTTGGACCAAAGTTCACATTACGGATACCCGTGTGTGACTAATAAACAATCTATAGTAAGGCACATCGCCGCACACTTCAGAACAGTTTAGAATTGCTAAAATAGGGGCGCCTGGGTGGCTTAGTCAGTTAAGCGTCCGACTTTCGCTTGGGTCATGATCTCGCCGTTCGTGGGTTCGAGCCCTGCGTCGGGCTCTGTGCTGACTGCCAGCTCAGAGCCTGGAGCCTATTTCGGAGTCTGTGTCTCCCTCTCTCTCTGACCCTCCTCTGCTCACGCTGTCTCTCTCTCTCCTAGAAATAAATAAAACATTAAAAAAAAAAAAAAAGAATTGCTAAAATAACCCCAGAAAGTCTTGTTCATGGCACCACAGACTGTGAAACCCAGAAAGGAACCCTTTCTTAAATTATCAGAATGCTAAAATCCCAGAAATTAATGGGGGTTTCACTATTAAAAACAATAATTATAATAATATGGTGTCCTGTGGACCAGTCTGGAGAGCCCAGCTTTCCTTCTGGTAAAATCCATATTGTGTGTCTACATGCCCTTCTGGTCTTACTTTCTGTGCATTCCTCACACGCAGCCTCTTCTCTCCATCCCTTCAGGCATCCCCAGCCCAGACCACCATCAACTCATAGCCAGGCTACTGTAATGGATCTCCCCAACCATGGTGGGCCCCTGCAGTCTGTTCCTCACAAATGAACCAGGGCAGTTTTGTGATTGCACACAGACCTGGTCATAA